TTAATATACACACACACACACACACACACACACACACACACACACACACACACACACACACACACACACACATACCCATGCACGCATTAAAGTATGGACACAACTGAAGAAGATTTACTTTCGTGTTCTAGTTTTTAAATTTATGCCTCTTTTCTATCAAATCCTTAAATTAATTTTCATTTTTAAAAAGAGTTTTTATTAAGCCGATTTTACAAAAAGATTGACTTGCTAAATTATAAATTGTAGAATAAATATTTTCATCAGTTTCATAAATAACTTGATTCGGTGATAATCGAATTAAACATTGCAGGTATCAAATATCTAAGAGAGTTTGTAAAAATACGAATTCTCTATATATTATTCCTTATTGTTCCTTACAAGTAATCATAAGAAATAGATTATTACATAATTATTATATAATATATTTAATTATATATTTAAAGAAAAGGAAAAATATAAACTTAAACTTACTGTGACGATGAACAGGTACAAAGAATGTGCTACGTCTATAATACCACACGTGATGACTGCAACAATCCATGGAATCAGTAACATCTTACGATCCTGAAAAATTTTTTTTACATTGAATGATTGAATGCATAAAAGAATTTATTTATTTATTTATTTAATTTACTTAAGAATTTATATATTTTTTTATTCATTCTTTATGTATTTATTTATAAAAAGAAATAGCACGTAATGACTTAATAAAGTATTTTGATTTAAAGAAAAAGAAAAAGAAAATTTACGTGAAAACTTAATATCGTATCTAATTATAAGTAAAATGTTTTCACAGCTTCTATTGAATCATGATACACAGTTGGATTCCAAGAATTTTAATTATATGTTTTGTTTTCATTCTTAATCATTCTTTGATAACAAGATATGTCACGAAGCCAAACGCGGGGATGTGTATAGTAATGAAAATTTCATATAAAACGTATAAAACGCAATGTGGAATAACGTATCGAGTATATTTTTTTCTTCATCGAATAAAACACTTTCTGTAACGTTCGCAAAATGCTCTCTCCACATTATCAATGCTTCTCGTTATTAATATTCATGAATCCACGTCTACTTACACATTAGTACACTGTAGCGTTCCTTTCGTGTGAACACTACAGTTTGTTTTGCTAATGATATTCGTCATAGTATCAAGCAAGTACTTAGAATAATTAAGACTCTTAATGCGTTCTCGCTCCGTTTTTTTGCTGGTTCGCCCACGTGAATGTATGATTTTTATCGCTTGTAATAATATCGCGCACGCAAAGCGGATTATCTAGCACGTTATTGACGACTTATATGTATATGTTACTGCATAAAAACCTCGCTAATCAATAGAAAAATGTATTAATTCTAAGATTTGGAAGAAATCAAAATAAAGAAATCAGTATATATTCTGTTACGCATTTTTATCTTATGTTCTTAATAAAATAATTAAATAAATCAATCTTAATAAAGCTTAAAGTTATAAGTAAATCTATCTTCTATATAGTATATTCAATAATATATTAGAACTATAAATAGAAGACAATAAATCAGAAGCTAATCAGAAAGACTAATCTTTTTGTTAATTAGTTGATTGTGCTATTCAAGAATGTATCAAAACTATGATAAGAAAGCAGAAACTAATGAGAAAAATTATAATAAAAGATCAAGATATTAATAAACTTATTTAAAATAGTATATGTATTAAAAATATGTATTAAAAATAATATGAATTGTTTACTCAAATGTTCATTTCACATTATGTCTAATGACACGTATCTCTTAGGAATAACACATGTGCGTCATACTTGTAACTTTCATACGATCCATTCGGGAGCAGCGATAATACTGTTTTATCACGTGCCAAGTGGAAGCAAAAGTATCTTCTACTGCATTCTCATAGGATTGAGTTTACTTGCAAATGTAATAGACCACGAAAGTACGTCTTCAGAGGAAAATGTATATAAAAGATATAAAAGATTTTATATTATGCAAAATAATAAAATGCAAATTGGCTGTTAAACATAATAAAAATATATTAAGAAATATTCATAAGAATTATTAAATGTCAAATGATAAGAGAGAGAGAGAGACAAAAGTACTTATTATTATAAAAGTATTTATTATAATTTTACCATTATAACTTCCTACTTATATTGTTATATTATTATTATAATAGTAATATAATAATAGCGTCTAATACAACAATTTAATATGTAATAATGGAAACAGAAATAATCGGAATTCTATTGCATTTCCAAATTAATTTCCTGCGGTTTTCTAATGATTACAAATATAAAAAAACGGCATCCGTTATATGATACAATGCGTTAATTGTCAATCCATAATTTTGCCCTACCTTGTATAAGCCGTACAAAAGAAGGAGACTGCACAGCACGCCGCAGCAGGAGCAGATAAGCAGCATTCCGTTGAATTGAACCGTCGCTGAAGCAATGTAAGCAATACAATATCGTTTAAGCGAAGCCGACTACTCAAATATAGACTCAATTCCATGCGCGAGATCACAAGAACTTTATTTCAATCAAGAAGTTGGTGCGGAGGAAAAGAATTGTTGATACCGTTAACTCTCGCTAGAATACTATCTACTCGCTATCAACTATCTACTTACTCGGCGATATGGTCCCTGATTCCAGAAAGCTAATCGATTCCGGTAGGGAAACGTCCCCCTTCAGATACTGACTCTCCCCTCGAAGAGTCGTGCCGGTAGTTGACGCTAGCAACGCAAAGTATATCTAGAATAAAGAAACCGAAAGTGTTATGGTATATAATATTGTAATTTAATTATATAATATTGTAATATTATAATTTATAACATTATAGTTTATATTTAAAAAAACACGATGCATTAATGCGAAGATTGATCGCGAATGCAGAGTTTTCAAAACTTCAAACACTCATGGAACTCCATATTACAAACTAAACGTCACAAACCATCGGTACGTTGCCTATTAATGTATATCAAGATTCAATCTATTTTAATCAAATCATTAATTTATTAACATTATTAAGTTAATGATTAATTAAATTTTAATAGGAAATATCCCTACATTATCATTGTTTAAATAGATCGTTCTGCATAATGCATATGCGGTAAGCCTCGCGCGATTAATTATGTTGACACTGATGTTTGCGATCTTCGCCCATTGTGTCACACATTTAATTGCATAGATCTATATCGATCATTCTTCTTGCTTATACATCGATATTTAGATCATTTAGATTTTACGAGGAAGAATTCACAGAGATTCACGGATGACGCGAGCTCGATATCCAGGGAATAATTCGATTTCGCGTCAGTAAGCTTGGCAATCCTGTTACCAATTTACCAGACGGAGGACACGTATGTCTGTCGCAATAATCCGAGTTAGTTTAATTCAGGGAGCATCGGCAGGGGAGATCTCATCGATGGTATCCAATTCTACGCAGACGTCCCACAGCCGGTACACCATGATAATTCGCCGATATTAAACGAACATCCTCCCTTCTCACCATTATTCGTATCTTTACTTCCCATCCCCCCCCCCCCCCGAGTAAAGTGTTATTTGATCGCGCGCACAAGTGTTTGATTCGTATTTTGCAATCAAGTATCGCTTTGGGAAACGAGGATTTCAGAAATTACAATTTCGGAATTCACGGCACTCCTTCAAGCTCCGCTCAAGCTTATAAGCAATTATTTAAATTCAGATTCGTTCCTTTATCAGTTCTATTTCATCTTTCGCGCGAGTGTTACGAGGCTGTTTTAAATAAACCAGATTATTCCGACGTGAATCTAATATCGCGCTGGAATTGCCCGATTAATATGGGATAGCTTTGTAGGATTCGATATATTCAAAACATGACCGCGCTGTAAGTAAACCGCGAATTTAAAGTGCCGAGAAACGTTGAATCATTATTATGCATTTGAATTAAAATTCATGATATTTTGTGCGTAAAGCGAACTCGATGTCTCTTTTCTTACTTTCTTTTGCAATTCGAAATTTGATTCAAAGTGCCCTGTATTACATTTTTAAATTGCTCTCTAATATTACCTAATACACTAAGTGATACCTTAGTGACTTATGTGCAAAACGGCATCACATGTGATCCTACATAGATCTTTCGAATGCGGCCCCTTTTTTCATGTCTTTAAAGTGGTTCACAGATATAATTTCAAATTTTTAGAACAAACATCCGTTCTTCATGTGTAAGAAACTATAGAAAATGTAATATAAATCCAGGATCTTTCAACGTGCTGAAAAATTTCTAAAAGAATTATTTCTATGAATAGGAATCGTTTTCGAACTCGAAATATCCATGTAGGGCACATAAAGAGTTAATTATCTAATAAAATTATGTCTAAAATAATTCGTGTATCGTCGTTTCTCGATACAAGAACCGAAAACTTGAGAGGCATTGTTTTATAGCGCGTGAACAAGCTCTCGTCAAATTTTCAAGAAGCGAAAATTCTGTGCTCAAATCGCTCGTTAAGTTCATTCAGTTGACGCTTCAGTTCACGATCGCTCCGCATTTCTCGTCATCGTTCACCTGTCCGTGAAATTTCGAACGAGAGTCGAACATGTCCGGTTTGACAAACAGACGCGACAGATGCGTCGATACGCATCAAGTGACGAGAATCCATTCCATCGATATATAATACGATGGACAAGTATACGGCAAAAATTCTTTGATTTTTTTTATCTTGACGGACTTAAAAAGAGAAAGATATATGAGCATGGATCTCTCTTTTTATTATTTATCTATCTAGTTGGATTTTGTCTAGAGAGAAAAGGGGAACAGTACCCAGAGGTAGCATAGAGAGTTCAAAAAGAATTCTTTGCATCTGGTAATTAAAAAAAGAATTATTTTTGCGTTTGAAATGAATTCAGAATTGGTGACGTACAAATGAATTCTTTTTGAACTCTCTGTGCTATTTGGATAGCATATTTGTATTAGAAACATCTTAATGTGATGCAATTTTTAAGCATGCAACATGCCCGTATATAAATGTCATTATAAAATTAAAATTATTATATATATTATTAATTATATTATTAATAAATAATTATGATTTCTACTTGGACTTTTTTCTTTGTTATGCGTTGAATATCATAATTCGCGTCGTCAGAATTCAGTGATGGACGATCGCTTTGGTGCATTATTTGGCATGGAGAGTGCAATTAGTGAATGTCGATCGAGATCATTCATTAACGATGAAACGATCTGTTAGACGCCATAGACTTCAAATTCTCGAAGTTTGTTGTTGGCATTTCGCGTTGTAGAGATAATTGAGCATCGACAGGAAATCGTTGATGGATCATTAGAGGAGAGTTACGAGAACAAGAGATTGTCTTTGGTTTTCGTGACTTATCGATAATTGCCAATAACAATGGCGTTCGCTATGTTCGTCATTATCGTGTGATTTTTTCAAATTTTCTAATCCATTTCTTTGGCCAATCGCAACGAGCATTACGAGAATGTATTACCTACGAGATTAATGCCAGCATTATTTCTAAAATTTAAGATTCAGACACAACAAATGAAAAATAAATAAAAATAAAGCATTAAATATATATATATATATATAAAATTAAAAGTAAACAATTAATTTTGATATATTAGAAATCATGTTTCAATATACGATTATAAAATACTAAAGCATTTTTCCATTGGTCGAAAATAATTCCTTATTATTTATTCTCATTTATTGTGATCTCTTAGGATCCAGACGCAATAATAAAGAACAAGAACAAGAAATTAAATCATAGAAATTAAGAATAAAGATTTTAAATTTAATATATTGCTTCAATAAATAATCAAGACATATCAAGATGTTCTTTTATAATAAAGTAACTTTCTGTTTTCTTTTTTTATAATTTTTCTCATTTCTCATTTCTATTTATTGTGTCTAAGCATTTATTTAGCTTTTTGGGATGCGACAACAATTTTCGCTTATAACATATAAAAGATAATGGATGGAAATGTCGATGTCTGCATCAAAACTCATTGTTAAGGAGGCTAAATCCTTGTTAAGGATTTCGGTCAAAGATATATATATATATATATATCTATAAAAATAGTATATTTATATATAAAATACTATTTTTTATTGTATTAATTACAAATTATATTGATTTTTTAAATTATAATAATATTATAAGTTTTGGTTACATGTTTTGATTCCTTCTTTAATATTAAATTCGATAAAGATTTTTTCCCTTATTTTTGTTCTAACTAATATCATCTAAATAATAGAAATAATTAAAATCGATTACAGTCAAGAATTTAAAGATAATTTATAATTTTACATTTTTAATCATTTTCAATTGTGATTGATTGCTTTGTTTGTTATTTAAATTTTTTAATCGGCTTCGTAAAAGGTTTCTTGTAACTATATTATATACTCTTTTTAAATGAGATAAATAAATCATTAAGTATTAGAGAAAAAACAAAGATCACAAATTTAGTTACAAAGAAAAAATTTGAGGTCTTTTTTCGCACACTGATAACCTCGAAATCGAATCCTATTGGCGAACGTTGAATGAGATTTACTGAGTGGGATCTGCAGGCAATTATCGGCAAAGCGATTAACGAGCAAAACACATGTTTATGTGAATGAGGGATGGCATGAGATAGTGTGCGGAAAAGTAAATGCCGGGAGTGTTGGCCAAAATAGCAAGAGCAATTTCAGTGTATGTTACATGTACGTGTGTACGTGTATGATGCTGCTAATTAAACCTGTGCCGATGGGTATATTTAACATACTTGGAAAAATGGATTAATCAGAAGCACAAAGGAAACAGGATACGGCGAACTGGAATAATGGCAGGGACACATCGACCGATAACTGAATACATTTGTTCTACCCGCATGGTGAATGTCGGCCCATTCGCAAAGATTTGTCACTCAAAGATTGCGAAACAATTTTACGAGGTGATGATAAGAACGTGCAAAGTTTCAGTGTATATTATATATATATATATATATATATGTTATAGAAATATTAGAATAAATAAATTAAATTAAATTAAATTAAAATAAATTCAGTTTTAATGTTTTATTTAGCAAGTCATGACGAACATATGATGCAATTATTTTTCAATTAAATCTCTATAAAAATATGTATCATTTATTACATATACACATTATGTATCACACAAATATGTATCATTTGTTACATATACACACATATGTAGTAAGAAAGGGAAAATTTTTATGTTTCATGAAAAGTTGATTCAGGTTCAATCAAATTCTTTGATTCTATGATGTGATGATTGCAATTAGATATAACAGAATCGTAATTTAGCTGCTGATATATATATATATATATATATATATATATATATATAATCAAGGCGTTTAATTATGTATGACGTTAATTTAATAATTAATATGGCGCGCAGTAGCACTAGAAGATATTCTTCCGAGGAAAATTATATAACTTTTAATTTAAATAAAGTTATAATTATTTTTTTAATTATCTTTTTTATTAAAACTAATGATTTATTAATTAAATTGTTTTAAGTTTAATTATTATTATTGCAAAAATAAGAATAATTAAAGTTTTTAAATAGATAATTATTAATTAAATTTCTCAGATTCGTCTTGGAGAAAAGATTTTGCATCTTTATTTAAGATTGAAAGAAAAAAATCTCTACGCGTAAGATCTTCAAATAAAAATACGAATTTCTTTCAATGGCGCAAATAGGAAAGGTTAACATCTTTTAAAATCAGAAAGATTATCTTCTATTTAAGA